CAAATAAACTAGTCACACTCTGTCTGTCAAATAAACTAGTCACACTCTGTCTGTCAAATAAACTAGTCACACTCTGTCTGTCAAATAAACTAGTTCTGGTCAAATGGTATGGTAACTTCATATTTAAACACAGAATCCCTCTTTTGCAATCCTCTTTTGCAATTTTGAAATCCTTTGCCTGTCAAATGAACAAGTCACTTTTTGTCTGACAAATGAACTAGTCACACTTTATCTGTCCGTCAAAACATTAAGCCTACCTCAGCCAACTGCTGCTTTTTCTCATCCTTAGAAGTATCAGTATATGCGTTATGATCCGTTTCTATGATGATCAGGCTGCTGCTAGGTGAATGGATTACGAACTTTCGAGGGGTGTACCTCAGGGGTGTGGCCACTTGGTTGAAAACCGCACCCAGTTTTTCTAAAGCTAAAATTCTGAAAATAACAAGAAACTCGGTAAGGAATAAAAAAGGATAGACTGCAGAGGTTTACATCTTGACCACCAGAAACTAACCTGAGAGTGTTGGATGATATGGCAACGATTCCTTCGGGACACTGTTCAGAAGCAAATCCTGATGCATGCTCAAGGGATTCGTATGAAAGAGGTGTTAAATGAACACGGCTTTGATGGGTATAGCTCAGCCATGATCGACTGGACATAGCGAGAACCTGAGATTGATAGACATAATATTAAATACTGGTTGAAGTAAGAAAGGGTTTGGGATGAAGAGACAGTTGTTTCTTTCTTTTGTTTTTCCAATAAATCTTTGGTATGTCAATGATGACATGTATGAAAGATACCCAAAGCAAAGGTGGACTGTTAACCAGTGGGGAAGGGGGTGGGGGGTGGGGGTTATGTTTGGACATAGCATTAAGGATGAAGCACCTAGCCACCTCTGCAGGCAGCTCTCTTCTTTTACTTTCYTAGGTGCTTGGGATCCCTTTGTGATCCCTTTGTGATAATCTCCACACCACAGGTAGCCCTCCAAAGAAACAAAAGATGGACCCCTAAAGTAAAGAGACGCCTGCTGAGGAGTCTACGTAGCATCAACAGTCCCCCACCCTACCCCCCATGCTTAAAGTGCCTATGACACCTAACTCAAACTTTTCAGCATTGATTCTAAATGAAATAAAAAGTTGAATGGTAAAATATTTGTACATGGTTTCAGTGATGCATCTTGGAGATATCAAGGATTATACTTCCAATATGTTAGTGATGTGATGTTAATGATAAGACATTCTTTGTTATGCTAGAAATAAAAAAAAGGAATAAAAAAAATAAAACAAAAACAAGAGTACTAACTGAGTCCATGCCATGCATCTGAACCTTGAACAGTTTAACAGGTTTGGAACCAATATATCTGAAATACATAGAAATATAATAAATGATTACTTATAGTTCAAGGATAATTTGATATTCTCAAATTTCTGTCAATCTGTTTCTTTTTATAAAATGAGAATTAAAATAACCATAGCTCTAATAAAACATGAAGTCCAATCAAAAAGCTAGATTTGTTTGTTATATTTATTCGATTATTGTCATCCCACATAAGCGTCCAGATATGTCATGTCACATAAGAACGATCGTTGAAGGATTTTTTCTCTAGCATGTCTCTGGGCTCTGAGGACATGAGGTAAGACCACAGAGCAATCCTGTAAAACATGCATTTGTGAAATGAACTATTACCATTTCGCCTCAGATAATAAGGTTTTAAGGATGGTGTAGCAAACAACTCCTACCTTGTTCTTGTATCAGACAAATCTCCTGTCACGTTATCAAGCACTGTTCGCAGAAGTACTCCATTCTGTAAGAAAAAATATAGGTACCAAAAATATACAAAAACTTTCTGCATATTAAAGAATCCTAGTCAACTACAATGCACTGCACCCCTATATTATCATTTAACTCCATCATTCTCGAAGCTCTTCCATGCACTGGTGGAGCAAAATTTCTGCAAATTCTCTATGCCAAGGTCCTTCCTTTCATTGCACAGCAAATTTTTCAGAGAGACTATCTTTGAGATATTATGACTTTTTTTCGCTCATCCAACTGTTAGGCATCACAACTTTTGAAATATACCTTAGATTTGTTGCCAAAATTTAAAAAAAATCTTACTGAAAGCATGAGTATGTATCATTCTTTTATGATTATCTTAAAACATCTAGCAGGAATAACAAGAAAGATGGAACTGGATTTTCAAACTTCATCTACAAACCTGCCATTTCATCTGGCAGAGAAAATGACCGATTGTTGGGCTTAAAATAACAGCCGGACATCAGGCAATGTCTGGCCAGAACTGGGACTTGTCTGTCAAATTTTTGCCTTGTCGGTCATTTTGACCAGTAATGTATAGTCAGAAATAAGGTATGACTGAGCTAAAAAAAAAATTGGCCTATGATCATGATTGGCACCTGATCATCCGTTATTTTAAGCCCTGTATTTAATATTATACCGATAATCCAATGCTAAGGAACAGCCCTCCAAGACTTGCACCTTCAGCTTCTCCCTCTACTCCTCCCATCTCTACAATACACAGAGATTCTGGTGTTGCTGGCAGAGCTTGCATACTGAGTGGTGTCAGACAGTCCTAGAATAATATTACAAGGAAAATTTTAATATACCTTTTGTCAAAATGGTGGCTGAAAATTGTATTGAGTTAAAATCATATACCCCAGACATACAAAGGTCTGTAAATTTTTCAATGTTCAACTATGTGTAAAGTTTTCTTGGCTGATATAACACCTGACATAATGAATCTCTGTAGGGTAACAGACTAGAGTAAAGGTGCTCTTTCCAGTACTGGAATTGGTTTTTCACCCAGTTTAATTTTAACTCATTCAAGTTTGCAGCTGCCATTTTGGCAAAAACTCTTTTACATCTTTTACATCACTATCATAAATAAATTATCGTGATTGGCCGAGGTCTATATGCTACTGATTTTAATCTCTCTCCTGATTGGCTACAGTCTTCACTCTACACTGTGGTTGGTCCCCTTCGTTAGAGTGTTAGGATAGTAAAATGTGGAAAGAAAGAGAGTTTATTTACCTGTGGATCAAGGGATATGATCCTGACTGTATTATCACTGAGACCAATGGCCAGAAACCTTGATCTCAATTCTCCATGAAGTATTGGCCCCAAAGCCATGCATTGTACATCCGATGACATCTCTTTACGTTCAGTGTATTCATTCAACTGTCCTGATTGGTCCATTTCAAAATAGACCACCTCTCCTCCGGTAAGGGCAATAACAACCTGTCGCTGATTTACGGCACACCTTACAATGGCTTTCTTACCAGGTGTCTTCCACTCATTCACACGCTTGTCTGCTCTAATGTGGCGAATTCCATCAGGGTAGATCTGCAGAGAAAATTGTTTTAAATGAGTGATATGCCAGTGAAAGTTATAAGGTTGTAAGGAGACCCCAGAGGTGAGAAAATGGGTCCATCAACACTAGACCAGCCTTCAAATCAACTATAATATATCTTGCTTAAAAGTCTATACTGACAATATGAAAGGGTACAACTAATATCTAATATTTACCTGTAATAGTGCATCTTCGCCGAGCTGAGAGCAGGACAATGTGGGTGTGGTTCCAAGGAATCCACTGTCTGTTACTTCCTCTACTGTCTCGCCGATGGACAGTACCAAGGTAGCGTTAATGAAAGACACTACAATGTAGGCATCAAACTCATCTGCAAAAACAAATATATAATAGGCAATGAGTATACACCTATTTAAAAAAAGGTTGTCAGAGTCAAAGGAGATAGATGACACTTAATATCTCAACATTAACCTCCATTTTTTGACAAGAATAAACAATATAAAACACAAGTCATTTCAGCTTAAGTACTCTTGAATCTTGAAGTGACTTAGATCTCTTATTACTCAATATCTTCTATTGTCTTTGGCTCACATAACCTTTTTCCAAATAGGTGTATATTGAGTCAAACAACCTATAGCAAAAACTACAAAATCCTTGAAAGTCAAAACTGGGTATTAGACATGCTATTTGCAGTTGATTACAACCATAAAGATTTTGATACTTATGAGCTATGTTTTCAAGTGCTGAAAATCAGAATTTCAATTCGTAGTTTTGAATYTTGACTGACCTGAGCTGGTGTGTTTTACAGTCCACACAGCATTAGGGTTGCCTGGCAACTCGGACACAGCCATTTCAGATACCTTTAATTATCAACAAATGTAGAGTAAATAAGAGTAAACAAATGTGGATTGAAATTTGTCTTGGTTAAAAATGTAGAGATCTTTTGAAGAGCTGGAAACCACTCCTTATAACATGAAGAGAAGCACGGGTTCAAAGATAGCTAGAACTTGAAGAACTAGAAAAAATTAGTCACATTGTAATCTATGGGCTTTCACATATTGCAGTGCAGTGTTCTACTGCAATGAAGGATATGTCAAACAAAATGATCACCTCTAGACCATGGCGGAGTACACGTAAAGATGACCTTGGGCCACGCCCACAGAGAGTGAATAATTGTGGAGTATCTTCATTTGCAAGATCAGCAATCTGTCAAAAATTGCAGACAAAGATGTTTAAATGTGGTCTTAAAATTTTATTTGAAGATTTTGAGGAACATGCTAGGGTAGATACAGTGTACATGTTTTTGAAAAATGTTGGCATCCAAGATCTGAAACAGATGATCTGAGACTAACAGGGCCATAGCTACAAATTTGTGGTTGATCTGGTTTTCGTAGCCTGCATGCAGCACAGGCTAGGTTTTCGAGGTTTTCGAGTTTTTCTTACATTTTAAAAATATTTTTCTTATATTTTTATACCGAAAGTTGGTCCGGTTGAAACCTGACCAACTGTATCGGTGGCTACGGCCCTGACTAAACAGGAATTTTGTGCTTCTAAGTCTTTTGTAACTCAAATGTTACAGGTCATGATATGGTGTGTACTCACTTGACAAGACATGATTGGGGCTAGACTTTCTATCTCATCAACCAGGACAAGATTCTTGAGTCCTCGAGGAGTAAAAAAGAAAGTTGTTCCCTCCTCCAGCTCCGTTGTGCTGGAAAACTCAACCTCTTCATCATCATCACCCAGATGAGCAATCTGGTACAGATAGCTAGAGGGAAAAAGTGGATTTCAACACTTTATTTAATGGGGGAGGGGGTGAATAGGCCTAAAGATGAGCAGATTTCACAAATAATTAAATCTAAATTTTCGAATTCAGAGTAAAATCTTTTGAAATAACAGAATCCTTTAAATGCAGTGGATTGAGGATTCATAATCCATTTTTTAATTCCGGATTCCAGTTTTTCCTCATTATAGAGTTTGGATAGCAGATCTAAGCTACAAAATTACTAAAAAAACACAATTTTTTGCAGATTTAAATTTAAGCAATTTTTGTGTGAATTTACAAACTCAGGTATTAATTTTAAATGATCTATGGATTTGCATGCATCTATTCAATCCCCTCTTTTATGCATTATCAATATAGCATCAGAAAAGAATGGTAATATAGTAACAAACACTTACTGATTTCCAAACTCTGACGCTGTAAAGAGAAAGCCAGTCTTCAGGACACACATACTAGTAGCAACTGGTACAGTGTCAAAATACTTCATGCGGATTTCTGTTACCTAAAAAAAACCCGAAAAACAGTAAATGCATTAATTACAACTCAGACATCACTACATTACAGAGAGAGAGACATATGTAATTACTATATGTAATAGGACTCCATGCTGTCCAATTAAGAAATAATTGGATGAGGAAAATTCCGAGGACTGACAAAATTGGATGAGGCCGTAGGCCGAGTCCAATTTTGCAGTCAGAGGAATTTTTCAAGTCTAATTGTTTCTTGATTGGGGAGCATGAAATCCAATTACCTATTAATTATATAGCTGCCTAATTAATYCCATATCAACAAGACCTGTCCAATTAAGAAAATATTAGACAGTTACCTATATGGGATTAATGAGAAGCTGCATAATTATGCCTGTAATAAGCAGCATCCAGGCCGGTTGTAAGGGGAGGTTCGATGGTTCCTTCTTCACCTTTGTAGAATTACCAAATAATTTTTAGTGCAATGTTCTAGTTTTTCAAGAAAAGGCATAACTAAGATCGTTAAAAAAATAAACCACCCCTTTCAAGGTCCTAGCGACAGGTATCATGGTTTTGTAATATAATAACCAGTGAACCAAACATACCACAATTTTTAAATTCTGTGATTTAGTGATCAATAGTCACTGTCAAAAGTAGCGTGGGAGTGCATGCATAGGAGCAAGAAAATTTCAGGAAAAAAATTAATGTAAATAATACAAGTTCTTTCCCCCATAAATGCCTTGCTATCTTGTCATCCATTATACTTTTAAAAGCAATCATCACACCTGGGAAGCTAACTATTGTATTGAGAGCACTGTTAAGAATGGAAGTTGAGCTGTCATAATAATGAGAGAGCAGATAGAGAGACACATGATTAGACATTACAGGGGCAGATCTAGGGGGAGGATTGCAGGGGCTACAAACCCATCCCACTATGAGAATTTGGATCGCTTCTTTAACAGAATGTACTTTTTTTGGTTTGGTGTCTCTAATGGGTAAATGCCCCTCGAATACAGAACCCCCTATTTTAAAAAATCAGGATCTGCCCCTGACCCTAGCTTGACCATTACCATGTCCTCATCCGTTTCCATGGTGACTTTGAAGATGTCTCCTTGCTCGGTTTGGATCAAAAAGAAAAACATTGACTGCAGAAACAAATACAGATTAAAAAAATTAGAACAGAGATAAAGAATGAGATGGGAGTTACATTTGAATCCTAATTTCTCCGTTGCATCCAATTCTAGTTCTCTATTTTCATGACCAATCCTCCCCCACCCCCCACCCCCATTTCCTGCCCAACTCCAAATACTGTTATAAACATATGGAACAATAAAAACCAAAGCACCAAGGAAAACACTTAAAACAAGTAAGCAAATAAGTAAGCAATGTCACACCTTGGTCTTGTGTGTAGCACTGCAAACAAATATCATTCCTCGTTCGGGGTCGTCAAGGTCATGCTGTAATGAACAGATAAGGGATATTTTCATATGATAAAATAATGTACAGTGAATTGATGTTATACCCTGGCTGGGGCAAAAGGGTGTTGTTTTTAGAAGGGGTTAGGAAGGGGTTAAAATGAAAATAATTTTGTATTCAGATACTTGTTGTGTTTTTTTTTTGGTAAAAAATTACTGGTTTTCATATTTCTTTAAAATGATTTTAAGGTCTTTGAAAAGGGCACAACCTACCTTTCTTCTTGGAATAGGCATTCTGATATCAGGCTGATCTCCAAAGTTCTTGTAAGTTATGTAATTTTCAGAGCAGACCAAGACTCCACTGGGACCATCACTGCCACCGGGTACTAAAGAACAAACAAGATTAAAGGTAATGTAAGAAGTTCTTTCTCCTGGTTATTCAGTTTCCAACTCTCACTTGAATTCAACAGAAGAAGAGCTACTTAGTAGAACCACTGCTAAACCCCATTTAGTTATTTATATTTACTAAAAAATATATCTTTATCATTTAAAGCTTTTAAATTGTAATGATACCTAAAACAGCCTCTAGGCTGATCAAAGTCAGGGTAAAGCTAATTCACAGATCAAATGGTGCCGATCAGATTGGAATTTAGCATGTTAGGGAGGAAAAGTAGAGAGGTTGGGAAAAAAACTTTTGAATCAAAGTAGAGACCAAACAAACTCTATTGACATGTAGTGCCAAACATAGGAATCAAATCCAAGACCCACGTCTGGGAATCAACCCAAGACCCTGAGGTGAGAGGAGAGTGCGCTACCATTATGGGTGACGTGTGTTGCTAGCACTCTGCCTATCACCAATGTGGTCATGTGTCGTTCCCCATACTTGTTGTCATATATAAGTGCATGTAGAGTTTCTTGTTTCAGGGTTTGTGGCAAGGTAACCACTTAAAATTCAAGGAGTATACAAGGACCCAAAAATCAAGTTTTAAGGAGTATGTTCAGCTAACTATGCCAAGGTTTTACACAGTGGTTGCACATGGCCGACTTTCAGATTTTCCAATCTTTCTGACTAGATCTATTTCAGAACCATGCAAGTAATGATCAAAGCAAAAATTCAAGGAGTTTTCAAGGAGTTTAAGGAGTAGCACGAACCCTGTTGTTTCTTAGGATTAGTCTCTGTGCTTAGTCTCCTACACAGCTGCTATTAGTGTCGTCACACAATACTCACACCTAGTGTGCATTGTGTGACGACACCAATATCAGCTGCACAAGACACTATCCTGTGCTTTGAGGGTAATCAGCCTAACTTACCTGCAATAAGCAAGTTGCCATGTTCTTCTAAAGGTTCACTGTATTTCCTAACGACATGATTCAGTCCCAGGTCAAGTTCATAAAATGTTAATGTCTGAGGTGTTGTCTGTGCTGCTTCACCAGTTGGATCTGTATCAGCTTCCTATGAAAAGATCAAGACCATTTAAGTACTAATGGCACTATAGAGCATGTGCATGCCAAGCCTTCAAATAATGGCTGGTAGGATGCCAGTCACAATGACTGGCCAAATTAGTTTAGCTTGGTCATGTCTCGTTTCTGGTGTAATGTTACTGGTCAAAATGACCAGATAAGTTTCAATTCTGGGCGGTCATTCTCTGATGTCCGGCCATTATTAATTTTAAGCCCTGGCATGTCATAACCACCATCTTGGTTGATGATAACAAAGCACTCCTTGTTAACTTCTCTTGTTAGATCAACCAATATGGTAGTTGTTTCATTGTTATTCATATCATGTCAATCAAAACCACAAAATACAAGCTAGAACTCCTTTAGCTAGAAACCAACATAAAATTTCAAAATATTAAGATCAGCACTGACCTCATAGTCTATTTCTAGACAGGCAAACATTGGGTTCTCAAATCCAACATCTACTCCAACAGTGTGATAGACTAGAGTGTGTGATTTGTGAGCCTCTAGAGGTGAAGAAATGGTCAGACGTGCCGACGAATCTCTGTTCATGATGTATACGAGCTTTTGCTTTTCAATGGCACCTAAAAGAGAAATAAATAGATTCAGATAAAGTAATAAAACTGAGGGTTTTTACTTACTACAATAATAAATAAATGAATACCCCTTTTTACAGTTCCATTCAGTGACCACGAATAATACTTCCCAGCCAAGGCTGGAGTTGCCACGCATGATAAACTGTAGTTTTGCTATGCACGGAAACTCCAACCTCGACATGAGACTATTATTCATGGTCACCGAACGAAACTGTAAAATGGAGTATTGCTGGATTTCAGTCAAATGATAAAAGTCATTGAATCTCATTATCTGCTTCAAATGGTGCTCAAACCTATTCTGCACCAAAAAATAAATGATGTAAATTGAAAACCAGCAGTAGAAAAATAGGTGGACTGTTTGATGGGATGGTGTAGGATTGAATAGGAATGAATACATGAGTGAATAAAAAAAATATATCTGAATTAGTCCAAGGGATGAAGGCTATATTGTGATGGATGGATGGACAGGTGGATTGATGGATAGATAGATGGTGTAGGAATGAATATGAGTGGATAAAAAAGATATATCTGAATTAGTCCAAGGGATGAAAACATATGGTGATGAACGGATGGACAGATGGATCGATGGATAGATAGATGGTGTAGGAATGAACGTGAGTGGACAAAAAAGATACATCTGAATTAGTCCAAGGGATGAAGGCTATATTGTGATGNGGATCGATGGATAGATAGATGGTGTAGGAATGAACGTGAGTGGACAAAAAAGATACATCTGAATTAGTCCAAGGGATGAAGGCTATATTGTGATGAATGGATGGACAGATGGATCGATGGATAGATAGATTGTGTAGGAATGAATACGAGTGGATAAAAAAGATATATCTGAATTAGTCCAAGGGATGAAGGCTATATTGTGATGAATGGATGGACAGATGGATNGTGTAGGAATGAATACGAGTGGATAAAAAAGATATATCTGAATTAGTCCAAGGGATGAAGGCTATATTGTGATGAATGGATGGACAGATGGATAGATAGATGGTGTAGGAATGAATACGAGTGGATAAAGAAGATATATCCGAATTAGTCCAAGGGATGAAGGCTATATTGTGATGAATGGATGGACAGATGGATCGACCGATAGATAGATGGATGAAAGGATGGTAAGACTAATAGACAGAAGTAAACACAAATAGATGGAAGGATTAATAATGATGAAGAGGTGAACCTAAAGACAAATACAGTACAGGCCAGAGGTTTTTCATTGTCAACTGCGTGTTGGGCACGGACCCAGTGCTACTGTATGCATGTATCCCATCCATATGAGCAGGAAAAGTTAATGAGGTCCCACACAGCATAGGAGCTCATAAACTTTAACTTGGCACTCTACGGAAGTTTTTGATGCCGACGGTCATCTTCAGGAAAAAAATATGAGAAAATTATCTTGTCATACTAGAGGCCCATGAAAAATTTGATCATGTTTTGAAATTGACTATATAAACATGGAGCCCATTCATTTCCTGTGCATGGGGACAAGGAAAGACTTCTGGCCTGTACTATAGATGGATGGATGAATAATGATAAAGATACATGATGGCTATGATGGGGATGATGACTACATTATGGTAGATGGATGAACAGATGGACAGACCAACAAATAGATGGATATAATAATGGGAAGGCTAATAAATGGACCTAAAGACAAATAGATGGATGGATGAATAATAATGTAGAGACATACCAATCATTATTGCTCGCCCTTTAGGGTCAACGGCCAGGTACTGTCCAGGTACAATCCTTCTACATCCACTTTTTCCAAATGTCTCTTGGTGCACCTAAATTACAAATAGCATGTACACAGTATGTCATCAATATTGATGAACTTTCTTGATAGGGTAAGAAATATTTAGGATGGATATGATTGGGATATGTTTTATATTAGATTTTTGAACCTAGATAAGGGGAGAGGTCTTTATCAAGGTATAGATAGGTGTCCTCAATTAATTTACATTGTAAGCTAGAATATCAACATGGCAATAAAGTTATCATCATCTTATCATCATGACCATCATTACCATCATCATCATTGTCATCATTATCAAGTTTACAGAGATAAAAAAATAATAGTCAATGTAACAAAAAAAAAAAAACTAAAGTATTTTCTAGATGTACTAACCTTTTCAAAAACATTTTTTGATGGAATGTATTCAAGAATGACAATCCTGCCAGAATCACTTCCAACAACAATATAATCTGTTCATAATAGAAAAAGAGAGTAACAATGCAAGTAATTTCAGTGACCATCGTATAATTGTACTTTTTCTCGTGTGGGATCAAACTGCATACAGTGAGCATTGAAGAGAGCATTATTAAATGTCGATGGCATTTCAAGCATCATGGAAGCCAAACTGCATCATCATTCAAATTATAGCTTCCATCATTCTTATTGGCCAAGATAACTGTAAATAACTTTCTGCAAATGATAATCCACTCATGCGCAAAGTCATTTATTGCTGTAAATAATCGTCTGCTCATGCACAGCAATATTGCATTTGTCAACGAGGCTTACTTCTCTGTGATTTGGCATGTTTTAAAGACAGCAATAACCACCAAAATACAAAAAGAAAACAGAAAAAAATGGATGACAAAGCAATAATTTATTATTGAATTTCATTTTCACAAAATCACAAAATCACAAAATATTGTGATTCCTTAGTGTCTAGCAACATATTATTCCACTCTGCCTTTTGCATTGGCAAATAATTGCTTGCTCTCCAATAACAAATCCCGATATTTTACTCAACCTGGTCAAATAATTGAGTTTTATTTATTCTTTTGGTAATGTATGTAAAGTTAACCATTAAAGACCAAAGGGATCCCAACCACTAAGAATACCATTACTTCTTATTGAGAAAGCACAATACAAACCTTTGGAGCCCCCAGTTAGTCTAAAGGATATCAAATCCCGTACAATACCAAACATCTCCACAGCAAGAACAGGAAAAACTTTGCCTGTATTTGGATCGGCTCTGAGCAACTCAAGTGATTTTCCTCTTGAAACAATGATTTCTTGTTGTTTGGTACCAGAAAAGTTACCATAGATGGATGAGTTGATGGCTGTAGCGCGTTGAAGGGTAAGAGCGTACATATGCATGATGACCTAAAAGTACAAGTTTTAGATTTGGATTCAGCTAAATGTTAGAGTTTGTCAGCCAGGGCCTTAACTGCACGGCATGTCTGAAAATCAGTTTACTGAGCTGTTTACCATGATTGATTGACTCTACGACCTTCCCCCTGCCCCCCCCCCCCGACATTTTGACACAAGTTTTCCTTCGCAAGATTCACTATGCAGGCCATATAAGCATTAATTTAAGTATCAAAAATGATAGGTCTGGGTTTATCATGTTTATATAATATTCGATATAGTCTGTACACGTGTTTTGAGTCGTCTGCACAACGTAACGTTTACGTTCTTTAATACAAACAGATCTTGACTAATAAATAAGGATCTGTATCACCGCCAGAATCTCTTTGAATTCAAAAAACAAAACCAAATTATTACAAGGAATAGTTTAAAAGATACCGTATAAAAATATCTCTGTAGACAATTCAATAAACGCGCGTGTATGTTCGGCTGACATATTGCAAGACGCTCTGGTTACGTCAAACATTAAGGGCAGATTTCTTACCTTTTTTGAGTAGAAAGTTCAGAATTAATAACGTTAATGAATGTTTATATATATATTCTTGGTACAGGTTAAAAGATAACAAAGAATTAGGCTTTTCGTAGAGGGATTTTTTTAGAAAAATGTTAAAATTTGGCCTCAGCCATGCTTGTTCGAATCGGTACTGGTCAGCAGTTGTAAAAATGGGCATGCGCTCACCAAGTTCTCTTAAACACAGGCAACCCAAAAAATGTACAAAATCAAAAATCACTGACACTGACACAAGGGAGCACGGCAGATATAAATTTGTTGATTGGTCTTCCTGTGGTACGTAATTTCATTGATTGGTCCTCCTGTGGTATAGACGCGCATGCGGTTACTTAAAAGTCGCGCGGGCTCATACGTAAACAATATGGCGGATGATAAATATAAATGACGGGGAGTGAAACTATGATCATGTGACCGGGTATCGGC